TCAGGGTCTTTTGTGTTTCCATACAAATTGTGAAATTTTTTGTTCTAGTTCTGTGAAAAATACCAGTCGTATTTGATAGGGATTGCATTGAATCTGTAGATTGCTTTGTGTAGTAGAGTCATTTTCACAATGTTGATTCTTCCAATCCAAAAACATGGTATATCTCTCCATCTATTTGTATCATCTTTAATTTCTTTCATCAGTGTCTTATAATTTTCTGCATACAGGTCGTTTGCCTCCTTAGGTAGGTTTATTCCTACATATTTTATTCTTTTCGTTGCAATGGTAAATGAGAGTGTTTTCTTGATTTCACTTTCAGATTTTTCATCATTAGTGTATAGAAATGCCAGAGATTTCTGTGCATTAATTCTGTATCCGACTATTTTACCAAATTCATTGATTAGCTCTAGGAGTTTTCTGGTAGCATATTCAGGTTTCTCTATGTATAGTATCATGTCATCTGCAAACAGTGACAGCTTTACTTCTTCTTTTCCGATTTGGATTCCTTTTATTTCATTTTCTTCTCTGATTGCTGTGGCTAAAACTTCCAAAGCTATGTTGAATCAGAGTGGTGAGTGTGGGCAACCTTGTCTTGTTCCTGATCTTAGTGGAAATGCTTTCAGTTTTTCACCATTGAGGACGATGTTGGCTGTGGCTGTCGTATATGGCCTTTTATTATGTTGGGGAAAGTTCCCTCTATGCCTACTTTCTGCAGGGTTTTTATCATAAATGGGTGTTGAATTTTGTCGAAAGCTTTCTCTGCATCTATTGAGATGAACATATGGTTTTTCTCCTTCAACTTGTTAATATGGTGTATCACGTTGATTGATTTGGTATATTGAAGAATCCTTTCATTCCTGGAATAAACCCCACTTGATCATGGTGTATGATCCTTTGAATGTGCTTTTGGATTCTGTTTGATAGTATTTTGTTGAGGATTTTTGCATCTATGTTTGTCAGTGATATTGGCCTGTAGTTTTCTGTCTTTGTGACATCCTTGTCTGGTTTTGGTGTCAAGGTGATGGTGGCCTCGTAGAATGAGTTTGGGAGTGTTCCTCCCTCTGCTATATTTTGGAAGAGTTTGAGAAGTATAGGTGTTAGCTCTTCTCTAAATGTTTGATAGAATTCGCCTGTGAAGCCATCTGGTCCTGGGCTTTTGTTTTTTGGAAGATTTTTAATCACAGTTCCAATTTCAGTGCTTGTGATTGATCTGTTCATATTTTCTATTTCTTCCTGATTCAGTCTTTGTAGGTTGTGCATTTCTAAGAATTTGTCCATTTCTTCCAGGTTGTCCATTTTATTGGCATAGAGTTGCTTGTAGTAATCTCTCATGATCTTTTGTATTTCTGCAGTGTCAGTTTTTACTTCTCCTTTTTCATTTCTAATTCTATTCATTTGAGTCTTCTCCCTTTTTTTTCTTGATGAGTCTGGCTAATGGTTTATCAATTTTGTTTATCTTCTCAAAGAACCACCTTTTAGTTTTATTGATCTTTGCTATCGTTTCCTTCATTTCTTTTTCATTTATTTCTGATCTGATTTTTATGATTTCTTTCCTTCTGCTAACTTTGTGGTTATTTTGTTCTTCTTTCTCTAATTGCTCTAGGTGCAAGGTCAGGTTGTTTATTTGAGATTTTTATTGTTTCTTGGAGTAGGACTGTATTGCTATAAACTTCCGTCTTAGAACTGCTTTTGCCGCATCCCATAGGTTTTGGGTCATCGTGTCTCCATTGTCATTTTTTCTAGGTACTTTTTTATTTCGTCTTTGATTTCTTCAGTGATCACTTCGTTATTACGTAGTACATTGTTTAGCCTCCATGTGTTTGTATTTTTTACAGATATTTTCCTGTAATTGATATCTAGTCTCATAGCATTGTGGTCAGAAAAGATACTTGATACAATTTCAGTTTTCTTAAATTTACCAAGGCTTGATTTGTGACCCAAGATATGATCTATCCTGGAGAATGTTCCATGAGTACTTGAGAAAAATGTGTATTCTGTTGCTTTTGGATGGAATGTCCAATAAATATCAGTTAAGTCCATCTTTTTTAATGTATCATTTAAAGCTTGTGTTTCCTTATTTATTTTCATTTTGGATGATCTGTCCAATGGTGAAAGTGGGGTGATAAATTCCCCTACTATGAATGTGTTACTGTCAATTTCCCCTTTTATGGATGTTAGTGTTTGCCTTATGTATTGAGGTGCACCTATGTTGGGTGCATAAATATTTACAATTGTTATATCTTTTTCTTGGATTGATCCCTTGATCATCATGTAGTGTCCTTCTTTGTCGCTTCTAATAGTCTTTATTTTAAAATCTATTTTGTCTGATATGAGAATTGCTACTCCAGCTTTCTTTTTATTTCCATTTGCATGGAATATCTTTTTCCATTCCCTTACTTTCAGTCTGTATGTGTCTCTGGGTCTGAAGTGGGTCTCTTGTAGACAGCGTATATATATAGGTCTTGTTTTTGTATCCATTCAGCCAGTCTGTGTCTTTTGGTGGGAGCATTTAGTCCATTTACATTTAAGGTAATTATTGATATGTATGTTCCTATTCCCATTTTCTTAATTGTTTTGGGGTTGTTATTGTAGGTCTTTTCCTTCTCTTGTGTATCTTGCCTAGAGAAGTTCCTTTAGCATTTGTTGTAAAGCTGGTTTGGTGGTGTTGAACTCTCTCAGCTTTTGCTTGTCTGTAAAGGTTTTAATTTCTCCATCAAGTCTGAATGAGATCCTTGCTGGGTAGAGTAATCTTGGTTGTAGGTTTTTCTCCTTCATCACTGTAAATATGTCCTGCCAGTCCCTTCTGGCTTGCAGAGTTTCTGCTGAAAGATCAGCTGTTAACCTTATGGGGATTCCCTTGTGTGTTATTGTTGTTTTTCCCTTGCTGCTTTTAATATGTTTTCTTTGTATTTAATTTTTAACAGTTTGATTAATATGTGTCTTGGCGTATTTCTCCTTGGATTTATCCTGTATGGGACTCTCTGTGCTTCCTGGACTTGATTAACTATTTCCTTTCCCGTATTAGGGAAGTTTTCAACTATAATCTCTTCAAATATTTTCTCAGTCCCTTTCTTTTTCTCTTCTTCTTCTGGAACCCCTATAATTCGAATGTTGGTGCGTTTAATGTTGTCCCAGAGGTCTCTGAGACTGTGCTCAGTTCTTTTCATTCTTTTTTCTCTATTCTGCTCTGCAGTAGTTATTTCCACTATTTTATCTTCCAGGTCACTTATCCGTTCTTCTGCCTTAGTTTTCTGCTATTGATCCCATCTAGAGTATTTTTAATTTCATTTATTGTGTTGTTCATCTTTGCTTGTTTCATCTTTAGTTCTTCTAGGTCCTTGTTAAATGTTTCTTGCATTTTGTCTATTCTATTTCCAAGATTTTGGCTCATCTTTACTATCATTATTCTGAATTCTTTTTCAGGTAGCTGCCTATTTCCTCTTCATTTGTTAGGTCTGGTGAGTTTTTATCTTGCTCCTTCAACTGCTGTGTGTTTTTCTGTCTTCTCATTTTGCTTATCTTACTGTGTTTGCAGTTTCCTTTTTGAAGGCTGCAGGTTCGTAGTTCCCGTTGTTTTTCATGTCTGTCCCCGTTGGCTAAAGTTGGTTCAGTGGGTTGTGTAGGCTTCCTGGTGTAGGGCACTAGTGCCTATGTTCATGTGGATAAGGCTGGATTTGTCTTTCTGGTGGGCAGGTCCACATCTGGTGGTGTGGTTTGGGGTGTCTGTGGACTTATTATGATTTTAGGCAGCCTCTCTGCTAATGGGTGGGGTTGTGTTCCTGTGTTGCTAGTTGTTTGGCATAGGGTGTCCAGCACTGTAGCTTGCTGATCTTGAGTGAAGCTGGGTGCTGGTGTTGAGATGGAGATCTCTGGGAGATTTTCACCGTTTGATATTATGTGGAGCTGGGAGGTCTCTTGTTGACCAGTGTCCTGAAGTTGGCTCTCCCACCTCAGAGGTGCAGCATTGACTCCTGGCTGCAGCACAAAGAGCTTTTCATCCACATGCCTGTGAATAAAAGGGAGAAAAAGTGAAAGAAGGAAAGAAAGAAAGAAAGATAGAAAGAAGGAAGGCAGGAAGGAAGGAAGGAAGGGGAGGGAGGGAGGGAAGGAAGGAAAGAAAAAAGAAAGAAAGAAAGAAAGAAAGAAAGAAAGAAAGAAAGAAAGAAAGAAGGAGAAAGGGAGGGAGGGAAGGAAAGAAAGAAAGAAAGAAAGAGAAAGGGAGGGAGGGAAGGAAAGAAAGAAAGAAAGAGAGAGAGAAAGAAAGAAGATAAAATAAAATTATTAAAATAAAAAATAATTATTAAGAAAAATAAATTTTTTTAAAGATAAAAACAAAAAAACAGAAAAAATGGACGGATAGAACCCTAGGACAAATGGTGGAAGCAATGCTATACAGACAAAATCTCACACAGAAGCACACGGACTCCCGGCTAGCTGTGGTGCACTAATCCCCTGCAGGCTGTGTTCACGCTCCCAACCCCAGTCCTCTCCCTATGCTCCAACCAAAGCCCGAGCCTCAGCTCCCAGCCCTGCCCACCCCGGCGGGTGAGCAGACAAGCCTCTCGGGCTGGTGAGTGCAGGTTGGCACCGATCCTCTGTGCGGGAATCTCTCCGCTTTGTCCTCTGCACCCCTGTTGCTGTGCTCTCCTCCGCGGCTCCGAAGCTTTCTGCCTCCACCAGCCACAGTCTCCACCCGCGAAGGGGCTTCCTAGTGTGTGGAAACCTTTCCTCCTTTACAGCTCCCTCCCACTGGTGCAGATCTCGTCCCTATTCTTTTTTCTCTGTTTATTCTTTTTTCGTTTGCCCTACCCAGGTACGTGGGGACTTTCTTGCCTTTTGGGTGGTCTGAGGTCTTCTGCCAGCGTTGAGTAGGTGTTCTGTAGGAGTTGTTCCACGTGTAGATATATTTCTGGTGTATCTGGCACAAGGTGGCCATCCCTGGTTTCACATCAATATGATCTCAGGCACAAACCTCCTTGTTTTTCCATTTTGTCTTTAAGTTACTTGTTGAAACAACCGGCCCGCCGTCCGCATGACTATCGTGGCTTTAGCCGCCGGGACCCCTCCAGAGCCGGCAGCCTCAGTGAGGCCACCCTCCGCTCGGGCTCTGGGGCAGTTCCATGACGGTGGAGGGAAGAGACCCCGAGCCGGGAGTTCCATCTCTGCGGAAAAACCCTAATATTTATTTTTAATAAAAAAGATGAGATTGCTGAATCGATTGTGATTAAGGCTTATAATGGTATTTAAGAACACATCAAAAAGGCTTGGGTTTAAATCTCAGATCCACCACTTGGACCTCTGTGATTTGGGGAAGTTATTTAACTTTCCAAAGCTTCAGTTTCCTTATTTATACAATAGAAATAACAATAGTACCTATACTACATAGGGTTGCTATGAGGATTAAATGAGATAAGACATATATAGTGCACTGCCTGCCCATAATATATTTCCAATAAGTACTGATTATTTCTATTGTTATTATTTTGAAGGTGTTGATAATGATGACTTTAGTTTTAACCACTATAGAATCTAGTGACTTTATAAACTATTGGACATCTTTGAGTCATGTGTTTTTCCAGTTGTGCGATTTTATGAGCATGTCTCTTAGTTTCCTTAGCTGTAAAGTTCTATGAATCCATTCTGAATTTCCACACACCTTCAACAAAATCATAAGTGAAAAGGAGAAGTTAAAACATATGTTCTGGGGAGGAGTCAAGATGGCGGTGTGGGAAGACGCAGAGTTAGCATCTCCCCACAACTAGGGCACCTGCCGGCCACTCATGGGGCACTCTAGCCCCCAAGGAGATGGGAGGAACCCCAAAGTGAACTGGTAGGATGTAGGGGCACCAAGCGGGGAGGAGAAATGGAGGCCAGACAAGACTGGCGCCCCTGAGGCTGGGGAGGTCAGAAGAGGCAGGTGGGAGGGACTCTCCAGGAAGACCAGGAGAGGAGTGGAGGGAGATCACCTGGTCCACTGTGGCTGGGGAGTCCCGTGAGCTCCCAAGCTGGTTCTCTGCCATCCCAAGGCCCATCCAGGCTGTGTGGGTTCTGGTGGCATAGGAGGGAGGCTGGGGAGATCAAGAGAGGCAGGCAGCTGTGGGAGAAGCAGGAGAGGAGTGGAGGACGTTTGCTTCACCCACTTGGGCCCAGGGAGCCTGCTGAGCGCCCAGGCCGATACCCTGCACTCCAATCCCCATCCAGGCTGCATGGGTCCTTGGGGGCATAGGAAGGGGGCCTGAGGGATCAGGAGAAGCAGGTGTGAGGGACCCTCTGGGAGGAGTGAGTAGAGGGCGATTGCCCCACCCACTTGGGCCCGGGGAGCATACTGAGCTCCCAGGCCAGATCCCCTGCCCTCCAAACCCCTGTGCAGGCCACATGGGTCCTTGGGGGCATAGGAGGGAGGCCAGGGAGATCAGGACAGGCAGGTGGGAGGGGCCCTTGGGGAGGCCCGGAGAGGAGCAGAGGGCGGTTTCCCTGCCCACTTGGACATGGGGAGCCTGCTGGGCTCCCAGGTGAGGTTCCCTGCCCTCTGAGACAAGGGGTGGGGGACATGCCTGGGCCCCTTCTGTTCCTTGAGCCTAAGCCCCACCCCCACAAACCCCAGGGCCTTTTCCAGCCCTGTGGGTCCTGAGCATTGGCCCCTCCCACCACCCAAACCTCACCCTTGCTTAGGCTCCGCTCTCCACAGCCAAGAACTTTCCCCGCCTCCTTTTTTTTTTTTTTTCTTTTCCCTTCTCTTTTTTACTATTTTGGTACTGATGTATCTTCCGGTTGTTGATTCATCTTTTTTTTTACATTCTTTCTAACATATCTGTTTGTTTCCTAATCTAACTTTATTTTTTACTTCGTTATTATTCTCTCTTTCTATCTCTTTTTTTTTTTTTGTCACCCCACGCAGCTTGTGGGACCTTGATTTGAGAGCATGGAGTTGGGCATAAGCTCCTGTGGTGGGAGCTCTGAGTCTGAACCACTGGACTAACAGAGAACCTCAGACCCCAGGGAATATTCATTGGAGTGAGGTCTCACAGACTTTCTCATCTCAGCACCAAGACCCAGCTCTACCCAATAACCTACAAACTCCAGTGTTGGAAGCCTCAGGCTGATCAACGAGTAAAACAGGAACACAATCCAACTCATAAAAAAACCAATGAGACAGCAGAAAAATATGTCACAGATGAAGGAGGAAGGTAAAAACCTACGAGACTAAATAAATGAAGAGGAAATAGGCAATCTACCTGAAAAAGAATTCAGACTAATGATAGTAAAAATGATCCAGAATCTCAGAAATAGAATGGAAGCATGGATTGAGAAAAGACAAGAAATGTTTAACAAAGATCTAGAAGAACTAAAGAACAAACAAACAGAGATGAACAACACAATAACTGAAATGAAAAATACACTAGAAGGAATCAATAACAGAATAACGGAGGCAGAAGAATGGATAAGTGAGCTGGAAGACAAAATGGTGGAAATAACTTCTGAGGAGCAGAATAAAAGAAAAGAATGAAAAGGATTGAATACAATCTCAGAGACCTCTAGGACAACACTAAACACACCAACATTCGAATTATAGGGGTCCCTGAAGAAGAGAGAAATAAAGGGTCTGAGAAAATATTTGAAGAGATTATAGTCTAAAACTTCCCTAATATAGGAAAGGAAATAGTCACCCAAGTCCAGGAAGAACAGAGAGTCCCATACAGGATAAACCCTAGGAAAAAAACACCAAGACACATATTAATCAAACTAACAAAAATTCAATTCAAAGAAAAAATATTCAAAGCAGCAAGGGAAAAACAAAAACGTAGCATACAAAAAGAATCCCCATAAGGTTTTCAGCTGAGTTTTCAGTGGAAACTCTGCAGGCCAGAAGGGAGTGGCAGGATATACTTAAATTGATGAAAGAGAAAAACCTACAACGAAGATTACTCTACCCAGCAAGGATCTCATTCAGATTCGATGGAGAAGTCAAAAGCTTTTCAGACAGACAAAAGCTAAGAGAGTTCAGCACCACCAAACCAGCTTTACAACAAATGCTAAAGAAACTTCTCTAAGTGGGTAAACACAAGAAAAAGACCCACAAAAACAAACCCAAAACAATTAAGAAAATGGTAATAGGAACATACATATCGATAATAACCGTGAATGTAAATGGATTAAATGCCCCAACCAAAAGACACAGACTGGCTGAATGGATACAAAAATGAGACCCATATATGTGCTGTCTACAAGAGATCCACTTCAGACCTAGGGACACATACAGACTGAAAGTGAGGGGATGGAAAATGATATTCCATGCAAATGGAGGTCAAAAGAAAGCTGGAGTAGCAATACTTGTATCAGGTAAAATAGGCTTTAAAATAAAGACTGTTACAAGAGATAAGGAGGGACACTACATAATGATCAAAGGATCAATCCAAGAAGAAGATATACAATTATAAATGTTTATGCACCCAACATAGGAGCACCTCAATACAGAAGGCAAATGCTGACAACCATGAAAGGAGAAATCAACAGTAACACAAAAATAGCAGGGGACTTTAACACCCCACTTACACCAATGGACAGATCATCCAAACAGAAAATAAATAAGGAAACGCAAGCTTTAAATGACACAATAGACCAGATAGATCTAATTGATATTTATAGAACATTCCACCCAAAATTGGCAGAATACACTTTCTTCTCAAGTGCACATGGAACATTCTCCAGGATAGATCACATCTTGAGTTACAAATCGAGTCTCGGAAAATTTAAGAAAATTGAAAATGTATCAAGCATCTTTTCTGACCACAATGCTATGAGATTGGAAATCAATTACAGGAAAAAACCTGTAAAAAACACAAATATATGGAGGCTAAACAGTGCGCTACTAAATAACCAAGAGATCACTGAAGAAATCAAAGAAGAAATAAAAGAATACCTAGAAACAAATGACATCGAAAACATGACAACCCTAAACCTATGGGATGCAGCAAAAGCAGTTCTAAGAGGGAAGTTTATAGCAATTAAATCTCACCTCAAGAAACAAGAAAAATCTCAAAGGAACAATCTAACCATACACTTAAAACAACTAGAGAAAGAAGAACAAAGAAAATCCAAAGTTAGTAGAAGGAAAGCAATCATAAAGATCAGAGCAGAAATAAATGAAATAGAAACAAAGAAAACAATAGCAAAGATCAATAAAACTAAAAGCTGGTTCTTTGAGAAGATAAACAAAATGGATAAACCCTTAGCCACACTCATCAAGAAGAAAAGGGAGAGGACGCAAATCAATAAAATTAGAAATGAAAAGGAGAAATCACAACTGACACTGCAGAAATACAAAGGATTATAGGAGACTACTACAAACAGCTATATGCCAATAAAATGGACAACCATGAAGAAATGGACACATTCTTGGAAAGATACAATTTTCCAAGACTGAACCAGGAAGAATTAGAAAATATAAACAGACCTATCAAAAGAATGAAATTGAAGCCATAATTAAAAATCTTCCAACAAACAAAAGTCCAGGACCAGATGGCTTCACAGGCGAATTCTACCAAACATTTAGAGAAGAGCTAACACCAATCCTTCTCAAACTCTTCCAAAAAATTGCAGAAGGAGAAACACTCCCAAATTCATTCTACGAAGCCACCATCACCCTGATACCAAAACCAGAAAAAGATAAAACAAAAACAGATAATTATAGAACAATATCACTGATGAATATACATGCAAAAATCCTGAAAAAAAGACTAACAAACAGAATCCAACAGCACATTAAAAGTATCATACACCATGATCAAGTGGGATTTATCCCAGGGATGCAAGATTCTTCAATATATGCAAATCGATCAATGTGATACACCACATTAACAAATTAAGGAATAAAAACCAAATGATCATCTCAATAGAAACAGAAAAAGATTATGACGAAATTCAATACCAATTTATGAGAAAAACTCTTCAGAAAATGGGCATAGAGGGAACCTACCTCAACATAATAAAGGCCATATATGACAACCCCACAGCAAACATCATACTCAATGGTGAAAAACTGAAAGCATTTCCATTAGGATCAGGAACAAGATAAGGATGTCCACTCTCAACCCTCTTATTCAACATAGTTTTGGAAGTCCTAGCCACAGCAATCAGGGAAGAAAAAGAAATAAAAGGAAAGGAAGAAGTAAAACTGTCACTCTTTGCCAATGACATGGTACAATACATAGAAAATCCTAAAGATGCCACCAGAAAACTACTAGAACTAATCAATGAATTTGGTAATGTTGCAGAATACAAAATTAATGCACAGAAATCTCTGGTATTCCTATACAGTAATGACAAAATATCAGAAAGAGAAATTAAGGAAACACTCCCATTTACCACTACAACAAAAAGAATAAAATATCTAGGAATAAAGCTACCTAAGGAGGCTAAAGGCTTGTACTCAGAAAACTATAAAACACTGGTGAAAGAAATCAGAGATGACATAAACAGATGGAGAAATATACCACGTTTTTGGATTGGAAGAATCAATATTGTGAAAATGGCTATACTGACCAAAGCAATCTACAGATTCAGTGCAATCCCTATCAAACTACCAATGGCATTCTTCACAGAATTAGAACAAAAAAAATCTTACGATTCGTATGGAAACACAAAAGACCCCGAATAGCAAAAGCAATCTTGAGAAAGAAAAGCGGTGCTGGAGGAATCAGGCTGCCTGGCTCCAGACTATATTACAAAGCTATAGCAATCAAGACAGTATGGTACTGGCACAAAA